GAGAGAGAGAGAGAGAGAGAGAGAGAGAGAGAGAGAGAGAGAGAGAGAGAGAGAGAGAGAGAGAGAGAGAGAACACGACTAATTCTGCATCTGCCTCCCCCAACCTCCCACCCACACAATACCATTACACCTGCCTCCCGCAGGCTCCTCCTCAGTTCCCGCAGACGTGGGTGTGTTTCGTCGAGTATACACCCACTAGTTTTCATCGCCTACGACGTGGAGTTCTTCAAGTGCACACTCAATAATGAGTCCGCAGACATCATCCGCAGCAACCACCACCATCTCTAGCAACCCCATCCATCACCTCCCCTTGGCCACAACAACCAGCACACACACTTCTGCAAGGGATTCCACCCACAATATCCCCGGTCCTCACCCCCTACAAGTTCATAATTTCCAACCCCCCCTACATCTCCATTCTTAACGTTCCGCCTGCATTGCGGCAGCGTGAACTGCAACAAGACCAATACTCCAGGGTGTAAAAGCATCTAGAACACTTCCGCCGCAGTTGCGTTCCGATACAAGAAGATACCGAAAACTATGTTCATGCTCAACCGACCTGTCCTGGTTTCAACACCAATGAAAACTCAACATTGGCGCCAGCACAAATGATTGTTGGCAAAATCACTATACATGTCAGTAATCACGCAAGCGCAAATGCAAATTCAAACACAAACGCAAACGAAAACGCAAGCGCAAACGCAAACGCAAATGCAAACACAAACGCAAACGCAAACGCAAACTCAAATGCAAACGCAAATTCAAATGCAAACGCAAACGCAAACATTTCTACCCTCAACAGAACTAAACACATTGGCCAAATCACTACACGTTTGTAACCACGCAAACACGAACATTTCTACCTGGAACAGAACTCAAAACAGGCTGACTGCACGAACCACCAACCACCAGTTGATTGTGACAAACTCGCCGAGGTGGTGGTCCAACTCGATGACAACTTGGCACATATGCCTTGGGCACGAGGAGATACTATCCTGTCGTATCTTCTTGCTATTGATACTCTTTCCATGACATAGACGAGGTCACGCATCGGGCGCACCGCACCCTTCATACGAGGAAAAAAAATCACATGAGCAATTCTCAAAATACATATCTGCGGCGGCACATGATGCAGCTGTTATGTATTATGCTCCTGACATCTTTTCACCAATTCAATAGGTGTGGAAGGCATTGCTTGCATTGCCGTGCGCTGCTCTGGTGTAGAAGGCACAAAACCGATTGGGGTACGATGCGCTGTAAGAAAGAGCTTAGTGTTTGCCGATAATGGAAAATGCCGCCTCAAGGAAGTTTATAACACAAAACTTCCTACGATACCTGTGGCGCAAGTGTGCGGTGCGCCATGCGGTGCGGTGCGCTGGTCACCTATGCGCGAACAAAAAAAAGAAAAAAAAGAAAAGAAAAGAAAGCGGCTGTGATCTGTGAGAACACGCGAGAGAGAGAGAGAGAGAGAGAGAGAGAGAGAGAGAGAGAGAGAGAGAGAGAGAGAGAGAGAGAGAGAGAGAATAAACAAATAGCTCCTTAACATTAATAAGAAAACCCCTGCGGGTTATTCGAGAGACCCCTGCAGAGAATTAGCAAGGGCCTCCTCACCATGAACGAGGCAATGTTCATACCCATGCTAGGGTCATGGCACGCCAAGTATATATGGTGTTGATTCACATTGAGGTCCGTGTTTCAGCAGTTATGGGACCACTGAGCACACGATTTTCTGGGCAGTAGCAGGCCAACTCACCACGTGCTTTTCAGGGCTTCCCTCCACTACTCACTACTCACCAAATGTGCAAAACTAGAATGAATCTTCTGCTAGAATGTGGAATCATACGCCGCCATATGTTTCGTCTTTTGTGCAAGTGGTTACGAGTGGAGCAAGCCCTCTTAGGGCCACTGCTCGTAGGAAAAGGAAAACAAAAAACAAAAAAAAAGAATAAAGAAAAAGGAAAACAAAAGAAAGATAGAGCTACGGTAGTAAGTGGAAGGGAGTTTTGGTCAAAAAAAAAAAAAAAAAAAAAAAAAAAAAAACTAGTTGTAACTTGTATCCCATAACTGCTGGAAAGCAGACCTGACTTCGGATCCAGAACATATATTGCTGGCTTGCTCCGCTCTCACATGAAGTTTGCTGAACGACGGTGAACGTCTCTTGAGATGTTGGGACCCTTGCAAATGCACTGCCGCTGGGGTCCTTCGGGAAAAAGACTATTCAACGAGGAATACGTGTCCCCAATTTTTTTCTTTTCTTTCTGTGCCTGAGTTGTTTTTTTTAACCCTATTTATTGGGGTGCGCCGCATCACGTGTGTGCTGATGCTCGCGCGTGCACAATGCGCCGCACGTGCGGAGCTCGCATGCACGCGATGCGGCGCAGGTATGCTTCCTACTCTTTGGGGAATACAAACTGAGGATGGACGCTGTCTTTGCGAGCATAGCAGCATGCCTTCCATTAACCTCCCAATGTTCAGTTGAAGGCAATGCACCGCATGCTCGGTATCCAGCGCCGGATGTATATGAGAATCGGGTCACTATGTAGACCTTTGGTACAAAGACCACAATATGCTCAAATTTATTGTGTGCATCATCCTCAATACACAGAAAAGGGGGCACAAGATAGATTGGGGTTTATGCACCCCTCCCTGGCACGATAAAAAGTCGTGAAAGGGAGCGTCTCAATGCTCTTCAAATGAAGCGGTACGAACCTCTGATGCAATGCAATCCTTAGGTTCAGGGTTCGAATGCAGCATGCGAAATGCCGGAAGAGATGATTGGAGAGTCATGGAGACAAAGTCTTGGTTGTTGTCGAATTTGCTGAACGTCTCTTGAGATGTTGGGACCCTTGCAGATGCACTGCACATGAGCATGAATGCCCGACGGTACAACGAACCGGAAGGCATGAATGAAGGTTTGCATCCTCCGCTCTGATGACCGTCGACCTTGTTGGGAAATAAAGAAATTGTGCTGCGGCAAGGAAGGAATAATCAGCTTTTTGCAAAGTCAGCGAGTGCAAAGTAGGGCGCATGATGCACTTCACTGGATCCTGCTCTTTTCTGGGGGAGAAGGTGGAGGTTTTATTTTTATTTTTATTTTTTATTCCTACCCGGAGATGGAGAGTTTTGGGTGTGTTTTTGTTGTTTTGTTTTTTCCCTACTGGGAGATGGAGGGTTTTGGGTTTTGCCTACCCGGAGATCCACAACTCAGATGGCCGATAGAACTCAGTTGAAGAGCGGTTTATGCTTTTTACCTTCATGAAAGACACAAAACGCAGAACACTTCTTTTGAGAGGTCGCTTGCTGTAAAAGTGTTTTGTTTTTTTTTTGGGGGGGGGGGGGGGGGGG